CCATTGTAAATAATACAAAATAATTTATTTGGAGTTTTATGCTTACATTTCCATACCGAACTACTTTAGTGCTCCATCCGCAATCCAACAAAGTTGTTGCAAAGGCAGTTACGACTAGGTGTTGCAATCATTTGTATATGATGTAAAGGTGGTTACAACCATCATCAAAGTTGCAGTCGGTATCCTTAAACTACCTTTAAATAAATAAATAATAAAGCCTAAATAAAAGTATATTGTTATTAACAAATTAATTTACATGAATAAATATAGTAATGGTGATTCTGAATATACTTAATAATAAGATTTACACCAACATGGTGTCAGCTGGCTTTCTGGATATTTGTTTGCAATATCTTCATGCAAACATAATGGTCTAAAAACCACCAATAAAAATTAAATTCTAGTCATAAATTTCTAATTTTAGTAAAAACATACTTTGAACGAATCAACAGATTATTACAGATTATTAACAGATTATGAAAGAGCAAGTTTAATAGTATTTTTTTCAGTTATTACAAACCAATTTATTTTTAGAAAATGTAACATAGATATAACAAGAAGTATCTTGTGAATTCGTTTGTAACATATAATGAATTGATCAGCAGACTATTCTGGAATTGAATCCTGATACGGAAATATCTCTGACTGAAATGGTATGTTAATATATATATAATGTGAGATTGTAAATCAAGGCCAACCAATTATCCCAGTTAATGTTGATCATTTAGGATGGTAGTCATGTGATGTGCTGAACATTACATTGACCAATGATATGTTTATTTTAATGGTTGCATGCATATATTTCAGTCAGGAGATTCCAAATATGGAAATCGAATCTGGAAAAATTGGAACACTTTTGGCGATCAATTCAAATGAGTTAACGTGATACATGTGCTTATATAAAAAAAAATTTTTTTCAAAACAAAATTCTCATTACAATAATTGTAACAAATTCTTTTGAATATAAATATGTTTTAAGAATTCACTGGGATCCACACAACTTTATACACCAGTTTTTTCTTACATATAGGGGAGCTATTGGTTTAAAACCCTGTTTATTTGATTTTTTCTGTTTGATTCTATTAATTACAAGTTAGTAATGGTAAACACTAAACCACTAGCTAATACTCTACAATGTTTGCATTTAAGAACTAGTAAATAGATATCTAAAAAATGATGAATCTCATTGCTAAGTATTTATTCATACTTTTAAAATTTAAATGATGTAAATTCTCAAAATTTATTCATATTCATTATTTTTAAGAATCAACTACTAAATTTTATTCAACTTTTTTATAGTTCTGATTAGGGTTGTGTTGGTCCAGTCTGGTCTGGTCTCAGTCCCAAAAGACTGGTCTTTTTTTGAAAGACTGAAGGACTAGTCTTTAGATGCGATCTTTGGGACTGGTTAAAGATTGTTTAAAGGATTTTGATGTGAATCACATATTGCAAAGTAGCTTTTTGGTTGATCTTGATTATCTTACATTTTATTACCAGGTTCAAATTAATTTTTTACACTCATCAATTATTTTATTTTACAAATTTATCCTGCTTACTACCTAGAAATCTTTGGCAACAAATAACAATGAGTTTCACGAAAAAACTCCCAAACTGTACTCTTTTGAATATTATTTGTATGTGGTGATGATGTTGTTGTGGATGATGATGATGGTGGTGAAGTTAAATTACTATATTAGAAACTGAATCTTCAACATAAGTGGTTTCATTTCCATTAAGAAACTCTTCTTCCCCTTTGAAATTGTGATTTAATTCCTCTGAGGACATCATAGAAAGCCAATCCCCAACTAAGTCTTTGTTTTGTTGTTATTGCGAGCGTGTAAATTCTAATACAGCTTGGGTTGTGTCCAATAAATATATAAGATAAAATAAAATAAAAAGTCCAATATATAAATCTCCCTGTATCGGCACACAGCTCAGGGTTCTCAAGTCTATACCAGGCCTCTGTATCGGCACACAGCTCAGAGCCTACTCAAAACTCTATTGCACAATTCTCTCTACAGTACTAATAGAAGTACTGCTGGCCTAAAAATGATAAATAAAATAAAATAAAAAGAATATATACAAGAAATATTTACAACCATACCACTTGAGGCATCCCTACAAGCAGCATAGAACAATCAAATGGGGGGTTCCTAACTAATGATTAGTGGCCAGCCACTAATCATCAGAGGGGACCATGGAACAATTCACAATGGCTTTTCCTATTAACTATACAAAAATTCGTAATAAGGTAAAATGTGTTTATTTAATTTATTAACAACAGGGGAAAAAAAAAAAATTATTTATTCAATTATTATTAATGTTATTAACACCATCCTCCTCTCTCACTTGGTCTAAAACCAAGCCTTTTTATACCTCTTGAGGTATTACAAATAACATGACCTTTACAATATTTTATCCAATAAAATATGCTTATTAATCCTATTTTCTGTATTACTAGCTTACTAATTGCTAATTACTAATGCTCTGACTCATAATTACTAATCCTATGAGTCATTATTACAAATAATTTGATTAATAATTCGAAGTAAATAATTATGTCATAAAATAAGTTAAAAATAGAAATGATGTAATGATCTACATGTGTAATATGACGTGCAACCGTTGCAATAAATATAGAAAGATGATTGTTAATCGTGATGTAATATTTAACGCATCACATGACTTCCGTAGTAAGTTCGTTCTAATTGGTCGATATTAACGGTCAATTGGTTGGTCCCCGGTTTACAATCTCACATTATTATTGCTACTGCTCCTATTTCTGCTATTCTTTCTATTACTATTTCTGTTTTAATAATAACATTATTAATACCTACTACTGTTATATCATTAAGTTATATTAAATAAACTATTGGTTTTTATTATACATACTAAATTATTATCATTGATTTTTTATTATTAAAGTTCCTTAGTATTAGCCTCAAAAAGTGAGCAATGTAATAATTAATTTTTAAACAAAAGTTTGGCCTTCAATAAAACATAATAATAATGAATAAAATAAAAAACTCAAAAAAAAAAAGATACTCATCAATTTTAACATAAAAATTTTTATTGTTCAAAATTTCCTTATTAAGAAAGATCAGCTGGTCTTATAAAGACCGGTCCAAGACTGGTCCTAAAATTTAGGACTGTGGTTCAAAGGGACCGGTCCCAAGATCAGTCTTTTAAAGACCAAAACAACCCTAGTTCTGATCATATTAGAACTATTTTCACTATATAAAATTTGGCATAGAATTTATTTACATCCAAAAACTTAATAACCATGAAGTAATCTGTTACATACAATAATGGGCAAGGGAATTCATTTATAAACTAATATATATCTCATGATATTATTTATTAATTTTATAGTAATCTGAAAGGAAAAAGAAGACAGTAAATCATCTATATACAAAAGGTATTAAAATTTAACAATTTACTATTAATTTTAACATGCATCATTAATAATAATAATAATAAAGGGAAATCAAAGAGCAAACAAGTCCTAGTCAAAGACTTACTCCTAGGATTGCCTCCGAATCTTCTGAATTTATTTGTTTTACTAGTAGGAAGTTGAATGGATTCTAAAGAAGATTGAGTGACAGGTTAATAAACTCAAACAACTCTTCAGTATACAGAGGGTGATCACGGGTTTCCGAACGATTAAAAAACTGTTTACATTTATTTATTTATATTAATATTTTTTTTAAAATAAATGAAAATTTACTTGTTCTGAATATTTTTTACATGTTTTATTAAAAATTTAATATTTTGTTGCTCCACCTTCGGCTGCTATACACGCTTGGATTCG